TAAGTTATAGATCAAGTAACAGTATTCATTGTATTAAAATACTTAAAAGATAGGGAAAAGATAGTTATTTTTGAGAGATGTATTCAGAGAATCCTTGTGAATATATATTTTTTAGAAATATTTTAGTGTGGCTAGAGTGTGAATATGATGTTGGGACTTAAAATTGACATTTTTTAGCTGTTTAATACCAATATTGAAGAAATTACATACTATTATTACTACGCAGAAATTTTCTTAATTTTAAAAATGTCACACAATCAAAGAGTGTAATATCATTAATCGCTATGTCCTATCCAAGATTAGCAATTTTCCAATATGAGCGTGAAGAGGATTTCAAAGGACTAAGCTTTTTTATAAATTAAAATAAAAGAACATTTTTAACTTTTGAATTATTCGAATTAAATAATCCGAGCTAGAAAAATTTTTTTCATCTTTAAATTAGCAAAAATGTTATCTTTAAACTTTTCGAACCTTGGATTATGAATTATAAAATTAACTCTTTGTGAACTTATGTATTCATACATTACATATATAATTTTTTTTATTATATAAACTTTATTTTCGATCATTTAAAATAAAACAATAGAACTTTGTATTATATATATATAATATTATATGTATTAATTGCTTTATTATTATATATTATATTATATTATATTATATTATATAAAATTGGAGATATTTTGAAGGAATATTTTGAAAAAAAAAATGACAAAAATGTTCTCTCATTAAGTGATTTCAAATAGATTAAAGATTATTTGATTTTTCGTTTTCATGGATTTTTCACTTATTTTTCTCTTAATTTATGGTTGACTTTAAATAAAGAAGAGAATAGCGAGTTTATTTCGATCAAAATTATATATCAAACAAAATAGACAGCATTATGATTCTCTATAATAATGTCAATTCTTTAAACATTAGAGATTACTTCGAGTATTTTGTTAATAAATCAAAGTCTTTTTAAATAAAATAATGAAGGTTTCAGAAAAATGGAACTTAATGTTAGAATAGTAAATATAATAAGAAAACAAAAAGAACTTTTAAAATGATCTAATATTTTTTTTAAATACTTCAATATATTTTATTAAAAAAAACTTTTATTATTTTTTTGTTTTCTAAAAATAAAAATGTATTCTAAATTTTTAAATATTAAGACTAGTCTTAATATTAGTAAGTATTAACTTTGATTTTTTTTTAATTAATATTTGATTTTTAATCAAATATGAATTATAAATCCGTATCGCAACGCGCCAAACTAATTATATTGCATCAACAAAATTTGAGATTTTGTCCAAATAGTTTCATTGTTGCAAATTACATAATAATTCCGATACTGTCTAAGATTATAAGAACTGTTCAATGAATGTATAAATATGTAAATATGAATGTAAAAAAATATGTGAATGTCTAAATTAGAAATTTGAATGTAAGATTACATATAAGGTAGAAAGTACGATGTTGGTTCTAGTTCTCGAAATGAATTTTTTGATTTTTTCTGATTTAACTAAGACTTAGTTACATATCGAACGAGGATAAGATATCCTGATTAATTTAAAAAAATATATATTTTAATGGGAATGATATAAAAATTATAATTGGTTAAATTTAACAAAATGGAAGAAAAACATCTCCAATTCGATATTCTCTTCAACTATAATTAAACTAATAAAATAAAATAATTAAAATAATTAAATTATAATAAAAAATATCTCCAAGAAATTTCTTATATTTTAACTTTAGTCGTAGCAAGTAATATATTCATGAAGCACATCAACTCTTATAGTATAAAAAAATAAAATTAGAAAAATGAATTCAAATATAACTTGATTAAAAAGGTTAAAAACTATGAAATAAAACGATTAAGTATATTGCTAAAACCGATTCAGAATTTACTAGATAAACAGTATACTACTTTAGAAATTCTGAATTGATTTATGATTTGATGCATAGCAAAATTGTAAATGGCGGTACATGTGTAAAGAATAACAAAACACATAATACATTTTTGAGTATAATTAGATAAAAATTGAAATCGAAAAAATATTTTATTGTCATGATTAATAATAAAGATAATAATTTTTATAATCCGAATCCAAAATAGCTTTCTTTGTTGATTATTATATTTTCTTTTCTTTATTAAATAATATTAATAATAATTCTTTATTAATAAAATTTTGTTTTGAATATGATGAATAAAGAATAACTTTTTATCTTATAGAATATATGTTAAAATGTATATAAAAATTCTTATATATAAAAAAAGTCATTTCAATTGATTCATTTTTTTAAAAATTATAATTAAAATTATAAAATTATAATAATTTTTATTCAAAATCATTGTTTCAATAAATTGCTTTATAATTGTAATTTAAATAAATATAAATATATTATAAGATAAACATTGAATTCTATTTTATTCGCATTAATTTAATTTCATAATAAAAAGCATTCCAATTTAATCGCTATGAATATTGTTTTATATTATATTAAATCAACAACATTGAGAATGGCATAAAAATAAAGGAATCTTGGAACTTCAAAAATATGAATTCTATTATATGAATGCTAAAATATGAATGCTAATAAATTTTATTAATTCAGAAAAATAATTTATTAATATTTAATAAAATCATTTATAAAACTTTTACATTTATTATGTAATAAAAACGTTGTAATTGTTAATTTAATTTATATATTTCTTATGATTTTAATTATCATTACATGATTTATATTTTTATTATTTTCAATTATATTTAATTATCTCTTGAAATTTTATAAGAATATAATAATAATTTCTAATATTAATTTATTATTAATATAGTCATATCGATCATATTCCTTTTATCAGTTTATTAACAATTATATCTATGTACAGCATATAGTGCGCTAATATTCCTTCTTTATCAACAAAGCAATATATAATAATAAAAGAGGATTTTTACATCTATTAAAATATTAAAATTTATTCTTTAATAAATAATTTTCTTGAAATTATAATTTTTTATTAAATTTCAATAATTTTAATGTTGACTATTATGTTGTATTCAAGAAATGTTTTATAGAAAAATATTATTTTTGATTATTTCTTCAAAAAAAAAATAGTAAATATAAAATTTCTTATTAAATAAATTTTGGATACATTTTAGTAATATTTTGTATATATTGTATCGCAAAATTAAGTATTTTTTTATTGAAAAACATATTAAACTATTACATACATAAAATAAATATATTATACGTAAAATAAAAAAACATCATTGATTTATAATTATTTTTCATTATTGCTATGTATATATAAACATACAAATTTCAATATTAAATATAATTTAAAAATTAATTTAAATAATTCAAAATATTTTTTTTATATTTATATTCGAATAATAGATATATAATATTTTTAATCTAAATTTATTGGCAATAATAATAGTAATTTCTATACTTCATTAAAATTTATATTAACAAGACGTAGAAAAATTTATTGATTAAAAAATAAATTTGATCATAGTTCGTTCATGCAATATTTTTGTTATTATTAAAACAAATTTCTTTTTAATTGAATTGTTTGAATTATTGTTTAAATTATTGCTAAAATCGTCGAAAATAGATATTTTTAAGAAGTATCGTGTAGACATTCTGTCAAATATTCTTAGATTAAATAATATATAAGGATTAATTATTTTAAAGGCAATAAAATTTCTTTTAAATTTTAATATAATATTTGTATTAAAAAAATTATATAACATGGATTTAATATTCCTCATAACGAATAAAATAATGAATGGTGTAATTTATTAAAAATAAACCTAATAATTTGAAATCAACTTTTTTTATAATATTATAATATTATAACTTGGTAACATTTTTTTATTATAAATAATTAAAAGACCTTATATTTACATATACATTATATTATATGTAGAAGAATATTTCATTTTTTTCTATTTTATGTGCATTTGTACATTATGTTTACAATGTGATATTTAAATATAATAAAATTTGTTATTTTAAAAAATGAAATCATTAACTATATATGTAAAATAATATTTGTTTTGAATTTGTGATAATATTAAACATAATTTGCAAAAATTAAATGAATTATGAATAATATGAATGAATAATAAAAGTTTTATTCAGTTCTATTATCAATGAAGTATCTTTATCTTAATATATATCTCTGTTTGATCATAATTACATTTTGCATTTGTTTATTAATAATTTTACAGCAATTTATATTAAGAACAATTATATACATTAATTCATGTTATAAATATAATAATTATTATACAAATTATATCTATTCAGTTATATAGTAAATAATATTTTGAGCAGTTTTTTTATTCAAGAAGAATGTAATAGATCATGAAGATGATATTCTATTTTTATTAAATCTTTATGAAAAAAACTATATTAATTTTGTGTCAATATAAATCTAAAAATTTTATTAATTTATAATATTTAAAATTTTTTTAAAAATTAGAATTTATAATATACCAATTGATAATAAAGAATTCTTAATATATTTAATGAACCAAATTTTTGTTCAACAAATGGAAGAATCAAGATCACATTATGTTCTTCTTTGGCAGATATTCTTTGCACGTCCTAAACGTGATATTAAATTATGTATTGCATACTGTTTTGATTGGTATTGATACTCTGCTGATTGTTAAAAATATAATAATATTTACATATTTAGAATTCCTTTATTATATAAAAATAACATACATATTGATTATAATTATATTTAAATATAAAAGATATTTGATTATGTTTAAATAAAAATAAATTTATATAAATATAAATTATATTTATACGATAATTTTGTATAATTTTTTATAGATTATTTCATTAATATTAATAATAATATCAATTAAATGAATTTAGTATTATATATTATAAAAAGTTTTTCATATTATTATTCATCAAATTTTATTTCAGATTTTAGTTAAAAGTTTAGTTTAGAAAAAATCAAACAGAGTTATCAATTCCAATATGTTATATCTATTCCTATGAATCTTTTTATTTACATTTATGATTGGCTAGTAATAATATTGATAAAATCAGGTCATATGTGCACTATAGAGCAAAGTATTTATCATGATTCTCTTTACATTCTCTTATATATTGTATTTTTCTTATTTAAGATGTATCTGGGCACTTAATAGACGAGTTTTTACCTATAATTATATTATATTTGATAAACTGGTATAAAGAAATCGCTTGGATATTCTGTTGTAGACAATCGATAATGTGCACTTTTGTTATGTTACATGTGAAATTTATAAAAATAATATCTCGCTAATTTTTGTCGATTTTTTGTTTTTTCATAAAATTACCACATTGTTAACAATATCGTAAATATAAACATTTTAAACTTTTATGTTACAAACATATATAAGTTTAAATATAGAACTATAAGTACCATCAACAATAATCGGTTGAACACATTCAAAAGTGCGTTTACATGAATATCATAATTATTTTTGCGTTCATTTGATGTTTTTCTTTTCTTTACAACCGATATAATCTATCGCATTAATTATATATTATTCTTCATTCGTTGTAGCTGGATTAATTAACCATTTCACGGTCAATATTATAATTTTTTATGACTACTAGTTTTCTTTTCAATGTTTTTTCGTATGCTTTACTTTCATACACAGTTTTTATCGCAATTTTTCATATCGTTACTTCGTACGATTCAATACTAAATCGCAAACTACTTGCAAACCTTTTTGATAGGGACTTTCAGCTAAAGATTGTGCAAGTTTCATTGCTTCAATACAATGTTTTCGCGCTAAAAATCTCGTATGTTCGAGTCCTTGCGATTTATGCACTAATTCAAATGCTTTTTCAACATCTCCTGGTTCTTGAAATCGACGCATGATCATTGCGTTTAATTCTGGATACTGTAATATAAAAATGAAGAAATTATTTAAGAATTAAGAAATATTAATATATTTTTTAAGATATAGCATATTATAATTATAATTTATTTATTTATTTATTATTATTATTATTATTATTATTTAAAGATTTAATTAAATCTTCTTTAAATAGTATTAAAAACAAAATGAAATAGTATCTATACTAATTTAATATACTATACTATACTATACTATACTATACTATACTATACTATATTATACTATAGTTACTATATATATATATATATCATATATAAACATTTATAATTTTTGATACTATGAATTCTTATCTTTTAGTATTTAATTAGTTTAATGATATTAATTAATTAAATAATTTTTTTGAATTCTACTCGTCAAAAGCTACATAAATAATATATTTTTGGATTTTATTTGTAACTAAAAGTACATAGATAAAAAAATAAAAAAAATTAATAATCATTTATTTAAAAATTAATATATATCCTCACCCGTTCACAAGCGAAAAGAACTGGAGCAGTTGCAAGACCTAATTTCAAATCCGCTGCAGTAGGCTTACCCATTGTCGGTAAAGTCGATACGAAATCCAAAAGATCATCGACTAATTGAAACGCTAAACCAATATTTCTACCATATTGAAAGGCTAATTCAGCCAATTGATCATCAGCATCAGCTAACATAGCTTCCTATGATGAAATATATTCATTAATTAACAATATATTATAAAATGAAATTAATATATTATAAATAATAAAATTAACGTCAAAATACTTACAGCTTTCAAAGTGTTTGCGATTAAACTAGCTGTCTTACGATATGTTTTAGTAAGGTAATGTGCGAATCTTTCATTCTCTGTTTCCTTCGATCCAAGCTGCATAAATTCACCCTGCACCAGATCCGTCACGACCTGGAAAGCATCTGAACTTATTAATATTTTTTAGGATTTTATCAGAATCTTATAGCATGTATTTTTACATATTCGTGCAATTAATATATTAGTTGATTCCATATATAAAATAAACATTAGATAGCGTTTATAATTATAATAATTAATAGAAAATTTCGAAATGCTTTTTTATTTTTTCTTTTATATAAAAATGCATTATGTAAGACATTCTATGAACCGAAATCTTTCGTCACATATATAAAATCTCATATAAAATATTAAACTTCAAATTTCTTTTTTATTTACTAAAATGATATTTACATATATATTTTAAAAATAAAAAATCACAGAGTTCAGAAAAAAAATAGAGAACGTAATAGCCATATAAAATGAAGAAAAGATCTAAATATATATTGTTTAACTGTTAAACTGGAAACATTCCGATACTCTAAAATAGACTAGACTCTGTAAAAGTATTCTTATAATATAATACATAAACTTTACCTGACTGAGTGTAAGGGTGATATCGTCATTTCGCAGTTTAGCTAGCATATTAGTAGTAACTGCCAGAATATAATCTCCTGTCATTGTCACCTAAAAATTAAGTAAAAAGTTTTTAAAATAATTTAAGATATTTAACTTCGTTTAATAAAAAAATGAAAATGCTACACAAAGAAAGGTCAAATTTAAAAATAATTTCCTAAATATTTATTTTGTTAATGTTATAAATAATTGATTATTAAAATTTTATATATATATTTAATTTCTCTGAAAATAAAATTCAATATTTTTTAAACAAACAAATTTTCTAAAGATGTTCAGTATAAATCTATAATGAAATTGAAAAAATATCATTTTATTATTTATTATATATTATAGTTAAGAAAAAGCAGAAAATGAATTTGATGAATTACAATTTTTGCAATTTTCATTTAATTTTTTTATATATAAATGAAATATATATACAAAAAATTAAAAAATAATAATTATAATAAATATAATAAAAATATAAATTATTGTAAATTTAATTTTTAATAACTATAATATTATATTGTAAAAATGATAATAAAGTAATATTTTAAAACTTTTTTTTACATTGATATCAAAGAATAACATATGTATGCTTTCATAACTTTTTTTTCTTTATGTTTTTTTTAAATAATATAGAGATTAATTGGATTAAAAAATTTATGTTAATAATCTTTGCACTCATTTGATTTTAATCAAAGAACTTAAGTATGTATTACTTGGTTATCAAAGCTGTTAGCAAGAGGAGGCTACTTTCTTTTATTCATCTTATATATGCAGTTTGGCGATTAAAGTAAAAGCGTATACAGAAAGCGTAAAATAGACGAATATACCAAGGAACTTTTCAAATGTATCTGAAAGTGATTTTCATTATGATATATTTAGAAAAAATGGAAAAACAATAAATCTAGCACATCATGTTATATGTATATGGTATAAATTGTTACACTATAATAATATATAAAATAAAAAAATTGAATTCTTTATTTTTTTTCATTTAGTACATTTCTTTTCATTTCAAATACTTTATATTTCATATCAATTGATTTACATAATAAGTATACAATAAGATAATTTCATTATTATTATCTTTATTATTATCAATTGTTTTTTATTTAAATTTATTTCCATTATTAATTAATATTTTTTATTATATTTTACATTAAATTATAATATAAAAAAATATATTTTACTAAAATTAATTAATATTAATTAATTAATATCCAATGAAACATATCAAATTCAGTTCAATAAAAATTACTTCAAAAAACAAAAATTTTATTCAAAATTTTTTTATTAATAAAGCAGAAAAATTGTTGAATTTTATTATTATTATTGATTTTTTCAATAATTTTTTCAATAATTATACAGATAAAAATTAATCAACTCTATTTAATAATTTAACATATTACAAAAATAATCTTCTAGAATTTTCTGAATTAATAAAAGAACTAATAAAGTTTTTTTTTAAAAGTTTTATTGTATTTCGATTAAAAAGAAAAAAAAAATAATTGATTCTTGCGAAAATTAATAAATCAAATTTGTATAGAAATAATAAGAATACTTTTTAGTATCTTTTAATATTTATTTATCTTTTAGTATTTATTATCTTATAAAATTCTATGTGTCAATTATTTTCAAATTTGTAAATGTCTATATATTTTTAGAAAAAGTTATATCAAAAACATGTTTGCTTAATATTTCGTTTTTATTTCGAAATATATTAAAAAAAAAATACATTAATATTTTAATACACATCAAATTTTTTTATAAAAATATGTTGTAATATTATTAAAAATTTATTAATATAATAATATTAATTATTATTACAGTATTTTTATTTATTAATTTTAAAATGGCATAATTTTGTTTTTCACGAATATAGTATTATCATAAAATATTTATAAAAAATAAAGTTACATTTAAATTACATACATAGCATAATATTCATTGGTGTGAATATTTTGTGATCAAAATTTTACTATTTGCCGCAAGAATATCTTAATTCTTTAATAAATTGTATTAAAAATATAAATAAAAATTCAAAAAAAAAATTAGGTGAATATTAAATCTGTAATGAATAGAAAAATTATAATTAAATTATCATCTATGTATATATCTATGTATATATTCATATTTGAATTAAACAAATGAGATAAAGTTTTTTATACATTGTTTTTCTATTTTATATTTCTAGAAAGTCATTGCAATGCAAATAAGGATCAGAATGAATTGCAAACATATTAAATCGTCAAATAATAGAATAAATCATCGCTAACATTGGTGTCTTCCTCGTATTCGATTTAGATATATATATGTTTGCGGTTATTTCAAATGATAAACTGGTAAAGAAAATCATCGATGAATACAAGTTACAATATCCTGAAACCACTTTTTCTTAATGGTTTTTAACAGCGATAGATATCTATTTTCATGATCTATTTTCAACTATTATTATATCTCATATTCCGAGCTACTAATTTTGCTTACCAGCAACAATAAGATTTCCATGATTTCTTGTTAGTTAATACATCGTTTTTATTTTATTTCTTTATTTATTTATTTTGCTATTAAATATAACAATAAAACTAATACAATATCAATGATATTCAAACAATCTACTTAAATTTCCTTGTATAATGACGACTATTGTATTGTATTATATATGTATGCATTTTGCTAAAAAATTTTGAAATATTACTAAGAAAAAGAAGAAATTGAATAAAAAAACAGTAACGTAAATGAAATATTAGGTACATTATTTCATATAATGCAAATTTTTTTTGAGATAATTGATCATGAGAATTTATAATATTAGAATTCCTTAGAACTTTTGTAAAAAAGTAACAAAAAAAAAAATAAATTTAATAAAATTTTTAATTTTTTCAGAATAATAATAAATAGACTAGAATGTTTATGCACAATAAATATAAAAAGTAATATTAATGCATAAAAAATATGTAAATATGCATGAAAAGTATAAAACAACTACATCTCGATATTATAAATAGATATTAATATAATATTAATTATATGTTATATTAAATATTAAATATAATATTAAAGATTAACAATCATTAATAATAATATATTTTATAATTATTATTATTATGTATCATATATTATTATGTACACGTGATAAGCATTTTCTTTAAATTGGATGATAAAAATTAATTTATTTGCTAAAAATCTTTACGCTTCACGATATTAATTAATGCATATTTAATTGACATATTTTATACTTTCATTACAAATTTAACAATCAATATTTAATTTCTTTATTAATGAAATTTATATCATCTTTAACTCTTTATATCATCTAACTCTTTCTTAATGACGTTCTATTTTTCTTGATTTTCAACATTTTTTAAATATTAAAAGCCTTTCACAAATTAAATTATTGAAATTTAAAATGCAAATTAACATTCATCGTATCATAAAAATCCGAAAATTTAATGTGCTCTATTAATCAGCATTAATACATATTATAGATATCGACACAACATAATTATGATACAAAAGTTTGTCGATAAAAAAAAAATTAATTAATAAAAAAGATATACATTCGTACATTTCACATATGATGTATATAGAGAAAATAACATATATATGAATAATATCATTTTGAATATCATTTCCTCTCTATATTTTGGAGTATTCCTGATATATTTTAATATATAATATATAAATAGGATAAATAGATGAATTATAAAAATGAATTATAAATATATATTAAATAATTGCATTAAAAATACTAAAAAATGTAGAACAAAATGTATTTTTGGTTATGGATATAATAAGATTAAAAAAATATATATTACTTAAAAAAACAATTGAATGAAAAGTCGATTTATGATTCAAAGTTTAGTAATAATTTTTAATAGCAATTTCATTCTCAGGCACGTACAATTTTTTTTAAAGTTGAGTGATGATAAGAATATTGAATGATTACTATGCTCTTTTTTATTTTTACACTTTAATAAAATATATCATTATTAAATTAAGTAAATATTTTTTTAATAAAATTAGATTTTTTTTTAGTATAAATTTTTAATAAACTATTTCTTTAAATTGAAAATATTTTACATTTTTAAAATTGAAAAAAATATTTTAATTAAATAATAAATTATGAGTTTTCTATAATAGTTATCAAAATGTTTAAGAAAATATAAATATAAATATAATAAAGATAGAAATAACGAAACTCTATTTCACAAAATAAATTATATACAAAAACTAATTAATAAAAAGCTCTTGAATTATAGAAATATAATCATTTAAGTAATTCAAATAACTTTATTTTAAATTACATGAATTCAATAACCGAATCTTTTAAATTTATAGTTTATTTCCATATGTATTTCTTTTTTCATATGATATTAATATATGATATTAATATCATATCTATATGATCATGTCTATATGATATTAATATAATATATTAATATATTAATAATATAATCATATAATATATAATTATATAATACATAGAATATAATACTTAGAGCATGAAATTAGAGCAAATTGCCATAGTAACTTTTTTAGTACATAGTGACTTAATCACGAATTTCTTTTGTTATTTTCACGACTTGATATTTTTGATATTTAGAGTTCCTTTTAACATTTTATATATAAAAAAATTATTATCAATATAAAAGATAATAAAATGCAACATATACGTCAAGAAGATAGAAGTGAAAAGATATCCATTTGATTTAATAAAAACTTGAAAGATTATTTTTAATGCATAATAATTAATACATTTATTTTACATTGAATAATGTTAATCACTAGCATATCAAATTTAAAATTTAATATCTCAATATTGACTAATATAAAATTTATAAATAATCTCCTGAAAATTTTTTAATATCAATAATAAAAAATATAGCTTCGATTTAAAAATTTAAAAATAATTTTCATAAAGAATTTTAAAATCATTTTTAAAATTATTATAGAATAAATATACGCAATATATTTATTCCTTAATAATTTATAATTCTTATTCAAATTATTTTCCATATATATAATGTTTATAAAAATGTGGGATATCTTTGGAAGATGGA